TCGCTGGCGACCCCCGGCTTATCAAGCAAAGGGCACGGCTGGATGTTCTCCTCGGCGCTTGTCACGTTTCCAAGCTTGCTGAGTGACTAAGCATGTACACAGGGTTCCCCTAAACCCTAGACTCTAAACCCTAGACCCTAAACCCCTAAACCCCTAAACCCCTAAACCCCTGAACCACTAAAATCTACTACTGGGCACTCCATCTTCTTGCCACGTATCCTTGTGCTGCTAGCCACCGCCTGAGCCCTAAAACCCCTTTGTGTTTGTACTAGCGAATTCCAAGGCCTCAGTCCCCGCCCGACGTGGTACGCAGGTCTTGCGTGTTCAGGTTTAGGGACTGGGTTTCGGGTCCATCCAGTCTCAGGCGTCTAGCACACACCACCCCCCGTGCGCCCATCCAAACAAACAAGATCCAAGTAAGGGTTAGGGTTTGGGGTGACACCCTACACCTTCCATCCCAAACCGTAGCAACCTACTGCAACCCCGAAACCTTTGAATCCTACAGACAACAGCAACTAACCCCCAAAAGACCGTCAACCCATCCAGTGCTCGGGATTGTATTCAACCCTAAGCCTATACACCCAATACCCCCCAAACCCATCAAACCCTGCCCCTAACCCTCAACCCTAAACCTTTTAAAGCAAGACCTCAACCCCAAAAAAAATCGAGGGTCGTTGGTGTCACCATCCAACAGAGCCTGAAGCACCAGGTGGTTCAGGAGGTACCCTAAACCCAGGGTTTAGGGCTGAGGCCTTTCAGGCTGTTAGATTTCAGTGGGGGGCTTTCGGGGTTACAGCGTCAAGGTAGAGTTCAGGCTTTCTGGGTCCTGGGTTTTTCATGATTTATTTCATTGTTTTCTTGTTTACTATTATTATTGTTTTTGTTATTATTGTTATTGCTACTATTATTATTATTATTATTGTTAGTATTGTGTTTGTATTTTTTTTGGAGGGGCGTTGGGGCTTTCAGGCAGACACGGCGCTCAAGCTTTTAACTCTTAATGTATGCTAGGGAAGTACATCATAGGTAACAAAAGTCCCAAAGTTGAAGGCCCAAAAATGGGGCCCATACCTTGGGGGGCGGGGGCGAGGCGGTTTCTGTTGGAGATTTCAGTGCGTGAGCTCCAAACCATCCCAGAAATCCCAGATGCTAGGTCCCCGAGTCTCCAGAAACCCTAAGCTTAACCCTAAACTTGGGATGTTCCCCCTTATGCTAACAGTCCTCAATAGCGATTATAATGGGGGGGGGAGTACTATAATCCCTGTTGAGGAGCGGAACATCCAACCCTAAACCCCTAACTCTCTGAACCCGTGAACCCTGAAGCCTAAAGCCTAAACCCTAAACCCCAAAGCCAACCGAGTCCCTACTAAACCACCCAAAGCCCGAAACACCCCTGGAGCACGGTGGGTCTGGGGCTTCAGGGGCCTACTTGGAGGTTCATGGTACATACTAACAAATGAGAGCAGTACTTATATCTGTACTTATAATTGTATTAGGGCGCTTAAGGTGGGTCATACGTACAATTATGATTGGTTCATAAGTACCATGACCGCCAAGTAGGGTTCACGGGTCAAGTGCAGGAGGGGATCCCTCGTTCTTTAGGGCTCAGGGTTTAGTGTTCAGAGGGTCTCTAAACCCTAAACCCTAAACCCTAAACCCTAAACCCTAAACCCTAAACCCCAAGAGGGTCACGGAAGCAGACTCCAAGGGGCCTTCTTCACGGTTCCCTTCCTGGCTCCTCCCTGCTTTTCGGTGCACTGAAGCCTGAGGCTTCCCCCAGCTCAGGGTTTAGGGTTTAGGGTTTAGGGTTTAGGGTTTAGGGTTTAGGGTTTAGGGTTTAGGGTTTAGGGTTTAGGGTTTAGGGTTTAGGGTTTAGGGTTTAGGGTTTAGGGTTTCGGTTTTAGAGTTTAGGGTTTGGGGTATAGGATTTAGGGGGTTTAGGAGGTTTAGGGTTTTCAAGCCCTCAACCCTAAACCCTAAACCCTAAATTGGGCGTTGGGGCTTTCTAGACCAGGCTCTCGGGCTGTTTGGGCTGGGCTCCTGGATGATCTTAGCCTCGGGATGAGTTGGCTTAGGGTTTAGGGTTTAGGGTTTAGGGTTTAGGGTTTAGGGTTTAGGGTTTAGGGTTTAGGGTTTAGGGTTTAGGGTTTAGGGTTTAGGGTTTAGGGTTTAGGGTTTAGGGTTCAGGGCTTAGGGGTTTAGGGTTTAGGGTTTAGGGTTTAGGGCCAGTGGCTTGTTGAACTTGTAGAACTTTGGGATCCAAGGCTCAGGCCGTGGCATCCGCATGCACTCAGGACCACACGTTGTTTCAGAGACCGTGCTAACCCTAAACCTTAAACCCTAAACCCTAAACCCCCAAACCCTGCTCTCAGCCTTGAGTGCCTAGTGTCTTGTGTCTAGGGTTTAGGGTTGTTAATAGGGTTTAGGGTTTAGATGTAGAAGCCCAAAACGCCCTTCTCAAGTGCCGCTTGGCAACCACTTGCGCCAATAGTCATCTTTGCACCTCGAGTAGAGGCAGTAGGGCAATTAATTGTAGGCCCAAAACCCAAAACCCAAAACCCAAAAACCTAAACCCTAAACCCTAAACCCTAAACCCTAAACCCTAAACCCTAAACCCTAAACCCTAAACCCTGAGTAGAGCGATTGTGTAGGGTTGGGAACTAGGGGTTAGGCGACTTCCTGGCATTGAAGTGAGTACATGTGTTCGCACTCAGGTCTATACTGTCTATACTTAGCAACAACCACCTTCATGTCGGTTCCGTTTACAAGTGTCTGGCGAGTTTTAGCTTCGAAACTCATCCCCTCCGCAGGTCCTCCAACTACCCCCGCAACTCAAAAGGAACCTAAACCCTAAACCCTAAACCCTAAACCCTAAATCCTAAGCCCTGTGACCTCATAGGCACAAGCATCCCTCGATTTGGAGGTCTTTGGAGGAGGGAAGACTTCGGGATGGGAAGACTTCGGGATGGGGTAGCACCCTGAACCCTAAACCCTTATCCCTAAACCCCAAACCCGGATCCCTAAATCCTAAACCCTAAACCCTAAACCCCCCGAATCCCTAAATCCTAAAACCCTAGTAGTATGAGGTGGTTCGAACGTGTGATACCTGAGTTTCGTTGAAGCCCCTAAGGCAAAGAATTACAGCAAAAACCTACAGGCTCAAAGTCAAACCCTGAAACCCTAAAGACAGAAGCCTCTAAGGGAAGTTACATGGTCTCTCAATGCGATCCCTCACCTTCTATAAAGGGTTCTGAGGTCTAGGTCCCTCGAGTTTTATGGTATATAAGAAGTTCCAAAACTTAAGGGACCATATTGCTACCCTAAAGAAAGCTGGAAGCCAACCAAACCTTCGCTACTGCACCCATCTATATATGGGGGGGGAACCTAGGGGTAGTAGAGAGGGGGGTACGTTGTAGGGAAACCCCTAAACCCTAACCCTAAACCCTAAACCCGAAACCCTGAACCCTAAACCCTAGCCTTCAAACTAAACGGAGCCCAGGCCACAATGTCATGGCGTTGCCGACCACTACCAGTGCACGGCGTGCCCGAGTGACCATCACATTCCTTGTGTCTTAAGGGTTTCGGGTTTAGGGTCTAGGGTTTAGGGTTTGGGGTGTGCAAGGGGGTGTACAGGTTAGGATTGAGGGTGCCCTCCCTCGAAGGGCTAGTGTAGCTTAGGGTTTAGGGTATTTTGAGTTTAGGGTTTAGGGCCGTTTCGGGTTTAGGGTTTAGGGTTCAGGGGTACGTCGTGGAGCTGTTTGTGGCACGGGCTCTCCGCGCGCTGCTTACCGGATCGTTACACAAAGAGCATCCATCTGATTCGGCAGACAGGGAACCCTGAACCCGAAATCCTGAACGCCCAATCCATACCCTAAGCTTTGACCGCAAGCAACCCTACATACTAAACCTTTCGCGTCTGTGGCCGTAGGAACAGCAATGAGTGAACATAGGCCCAAGGCTCAACCGCCGCCAGTCCTGCTGCTTGATTCTGCTTGGGGTTCGGGTTTAGGGTTCAGGTTCTGGGTGTGCAGTTTAGGGTTTAGGGTTCAGGGTTCAGGGTTTGCGGTTTAGGGTTTAGGGGTGTGAGCTCGCGTTTCGGGTTTGTGCAGTATCCGTGGTCGAGCACAACCGTGCATCTTGGCACCCCTCAGCCGAAACCCCTGAAACTGCAACAGCATCCTCTTAAGCAAGCAACACGAAACCCGAAATCCCTAAATCCCCACATCCCTCAAGGCCGAGAAATCCTAAATCTATCTCTACTACATCCCTAGAGCGCCCTACATCCCTCAACCCCAAGGGCCAAACCGAAGCCTTTTTTGCTTTGGGGAAGCCCTCACCTTCGGTGGGCCCCCCCCTTCCACATAGGGATGGCTCTCCTTGATTTTTTTGGGTTTAGGGTTTAGGGTTTAGGGTTTAGGGTTTAGGGTTTAGGGTTTCAGCAAATGGTAGTACTGGTGACGACAACCAAGGGATGTGTTGCATTCTTATTCTGGCACTTGAACAAACCTAGATGAGCTTCTGGTCTGTGAGGAGCTTAGGGAGACGGGTCTACTTGGAGGTCCATGGTACTTATTAACCAATGAGAACTGTACTTGTAACTGTACTTAGAGCCATCTTAGGGCACTTAAGGGGCTTATAAGTGGGTTGTAAGTACAGCTATCAGTTGGTTAAAAAAGTACCATGAACCTCCAAGTAGGGTTGCAGAGGCAAAAAACAAAACTGCCCCTGGTCGGTCCTGGAGGAAGCCAACCTGTCCATACCTGGCGGAGGGTTCATAGGGGTTTAGGGCTGCGGGCTTAGGATTTGTGACCCTAAACCCTAAACCCTAAATTATAAACCCTAAACCCTAAACCCTAAACCCTAAACCCTAAACCCTAAACCCTAACCTTAAACCCTAAACCCGAGGTTGGTTCCCCAGAAGACTAGGAGGATTTTGTTTAAAAGGGAACCCCACTTTGCTTCAAGAGTGTGAAAGGGGAGGTCAGAGAGCGCAGGTTTGTTCAATAACACCTGGGAAAATGTGCTGCCGCTAGTATTACAGCATTCGAAGATACTAAAACCCTAAACGCTGAGAACCCCATATCCGACAAAGTATGCCATTGATTCGCCCAGGGCACCTGTTGCATCGGACAGCAGAGAAGATGATGATCTCCTTCCTCAAGGCTGCGGCGACTCTGCGCGTGGCTTGTCGGCTTAGGATATGGCGGCTAGGGTCCGTTTCAGGGTTTAGGGTTTAGGGTTTAGGGTCTGGGTTTAGGGTTCAGGGTGTCCGTTTCCTGAGGTAAAGCACCAGCACCGACAGCGTTCTCCTTACGGCCCTTACTTAAGACACCACAGGAACTAGCACCCCTAAACCCACCAACCCCAGCAAAACTGTCGGGTTCTCAACTAAGTGCCTCTGCCACGTATTCCTGAATATGATCCTCCTAAAACCAAAGAAGGGAAAAGTATGAAATTAGGGGATAAGATTAGGGGGACCCTTGGGGATGTAGACCCTCTGAATAAGGTCCCTGTTTAAGAGAACCAGAAGAGGGTTAAGAAGGGTTCCCTTTTAAGGGTCCCCCTGATCCCCTAAATCCTCAACCCTCAACCCTCAACCCTAACCCCTAAACCAACGCAGGAAGCATATGAAATGCCCCAAGGGCCCTAACCAGTCAAAAGCAAGCCACTCACGGCCCTGGAAGTTGTCCACCGAGGCGATTTCCAGGGCAGTCACCTCCTGGGTGTTTAGGGTTTAGGGTTTAGGGTTTAAGGTTTAGTTTAGGGTTTGGTACCTTAGACCCTTAAGGTTGTACCCTTAGGATTTGGGGACCCTGTTTACAGATCCTTGAGGTAGTATACTTCGGGCCAAGCTAGGGGTATATTGTGGGGAACCTTTGGGGGTACAGCCCTGGGGCACGAGTCTTAATCCCTTGACAAGTTGATGGACTGGGAGTTGGGGGTTGAAGGGTTTGGGGTGGCAAGGTTCATGGGTTCAGGGTTGCGGTTCTAGGGCTTTAGGGTTGATAAACCCTAAACCCTAAACCCTAAACCCTAAACCCTAAACCCTGAGCCCATCAGGGTTTGTTGGATTTAGGGCTTTGGGTGTCGGGCGTAAGGGGCGTTAGGAGGGCTTCTGGGCTCGACGCGGCACTGATCGGGAAGAAAAGCTCCGCACGCATGAAACAAACCCCTCTGCCCCCGCCCGATCCTTAAAATCCCCAAATGCTCGAAACCCTACAACCCTATTTTAAATGCCCCAAAACCCTGCATGCCCTAAAACCCTAAATGCCCTACCCCCCTAAACCATAAAAGCCCCAAAACCCCAAACCCCAACTAAACCCCAAATCCTAAACCCTAAAACCTAAATGCCCTAAACCTCTTAAACCCTATATGCCCTGGACCCTAAATCCTAATTGTAATTCTAACGCCTCTAAACCCTATAACCCCAAACCCTATAAACCCTAAACCCTAAATGCCCTAAAATCCTATAAACCCCAAATGCCCTAATTAAACCCTAAAACCGAAGTGCCCTAAACCCTAAATCCTCATTCTCAAGCCTCTCACCCTAAAACCCCAAACCCTGTAAGCCCTCACTCAAAACACAACCCTAAAACCCTAAAACCCTAAATGCCCTAAACCCTATAAACCCTAAACCCTAAAACCCTAAAAGCCCTAAAACCCTCAAACCCGGCCTGGTCTTCCGGGAGGATGAACGCGCCGGGGCTGTGGAACAGCCGGCGCAACACGCGCACCTGGCCTTTGTACCTCCAGTCGCCAAGGTTGCTGCGGTGGAGGGTGGGTTTAGGGTTTAGGGTTGAGGGTTTGGGGTTTGGGGTTTATAAGGGTTCAGGGTTTAGGGTTTAGAGTTTGGGTATGGGGAATGGGGTTTGGGGTTTAGGGTTGATGGGGGTAAGTTTAGGGTCTGTGGAGTTTAGGGCTCTAAGGCTTCGGGCTTGGGGTCAATCATCCGATCCTCACCCAAAACCGAAAACCCTCAATTTCGATCTCCCTAAACCCTAACCCCTAAACCCTAAAACCTAAACATCACTGCAAGCAAAGCTACGGCGTGATCACGCCAATGTCCTGGAGCATCACTTCGCCCCGATCCAGCACGCGCTGTACCAAGTCCTGTGGCCATTCTAGGTTTGGGGTTTATAAAGTTTATGGTTTAGGGTTAGGGTTTAGGGTTTAGGGTTTAGGGTTTAGGGTTTTAGGGTTTTAGGGTTTTAGGGTTTTAGGGCTTAGGGTTTAGGGTTTAGGGTTTAGACCCACGCCTTCTACGCGCGGAAGCCTAAACACCCAGACCGCTCAATCACCCTTAATTCGGGAACACATGCCTTAATTCGTGTACTGTCATTGGTCATTCTTCCAACTTAGCCGAAGTCCTGTCCCCTCCTAAACCTATGAAGAGAACCTAAGCACCGAAGCGCCATTAGGGTTCGGGGCAGAGAGTTTCGGACCCTAAGCCAGAAAACGCCTACAGCCCAACCCCCTAAAATTTAAACCCTAGACTTTGACCTCATCTATAGACCCAAGAGAGACCTAGGAAATAGAAAGGGGGAACCTAAGCCCCAAAAGAAGGGAATTCGGGCCTACGCTGGGTAACCCAAAGACAGCTCTCCAAAAATAGTCAAACCCTCAACCACCGAATTCCTTCAGCCACTCTGGTCCCAAACCCTGCGACCCAAGAGCCAGCACACACCCAACAACCCCAAACCCGTGAAAAAGCCATGGAGCTCCCGACCTTGATCAGAAGAGCCTCAGCGGTATTCGCCTTGGACTCCCCTTCCTGGGCGGCCAGCGGCACGGGAAATGCGGTTTAGGGTTCAGGGGTTTAGGGTTTAGGGCTTGTTTAAGGGTTTAGGGTTAGATGGGTTTAGCCGGTTATAAAGAAAAGGTGCATGTGTGGAGTTGAGCGCTTGGGGATCTGAGGTGTTCAGGCTTTGGGTGCTCAAGTTTGGGGTAAAGCTTGGCCCAAAGGCCTCCCGATGTTTCAAGTCCAGTGGCCAGGTGCTCTTCGACGTTCGACTCCACAAACATAGCCGGGCATTCCAAATCTTCGCAGGGAAAACTTAGGGTTTTCAGCGCAGGGATTAGGTTTAGGGTTAGGGGTTTGCTATATAAGGGCTTCAGGATTTGAGGGTTTTAGGGTGCCTAAACCCTAAACCCTAAGACCTAAACCCGAAACCCCAAGCCCTGAGCCCTAAACCCTAAACGCTAAACCTGAAACCTTAAGCCCTAAACCCTAAACCCTAACCCTAAACCATAAACCAAAACCCTAAACCCTATAGCGTTGGAGTCCCTCCGGCCAAGGCCGTCGCCGATTGCCCGTCCAGGAGGTGTGAAGCCAGAGTGGGGGCCCTTACGAAAGCCTCCTGAGCCCTGATCCAAAAGGTTATCCTAACATCGGGGGTACTATAATCCCTATTAAGGACTGTTAGTATAAGGGGGAACATCCCAACCAATAGCCCTAAACCCGAAACCCGAAACCCGAAACCCTAAACCCTAAACCCTAAACCCTAAACCCAAACCCTAAACCCTAAACTCCAAAAGCCTGGCATCCCCGTGGCCTGGCCATGGCAAGCCATTCGGTCTCGGCCGCTCGGAGCCCTTGACGCCGTGCAGCAGCTTGCCATTGTAGATGTTCCTGGGCTTCGGGAGGGTTTAGGGTTTAGGGTTTAGGGTTTAGGGTTTAGGGTTTAGGGTTTAGGGTTTAGGGTTTAGGGTTTAGGGTTTAGGGTTTAGGGTTTAGGGTTTAAGCCAGCCAGTCGTTTTTTAGGCAGGGGTTACCGTAGGACTTGGGCCGCTAGACGGGCACTGACACTGGGCTTCAGCAAGCTCGGGTCTGCTTCAGGTGTTTAAGGCTTTCCTTGACCTGGTTTAGGTTTTAGGGTTTAGGGTTTAGGGTTTAGGGTTTTAGGGTTTTAGGGTTTAGGGTTTAGGGTTTAGGGTTTAGGGTTTAGGGTTTAGGGTTTAGGGTTTAGGGTTTCGGGTTTCGGGTTTAGGGTTTCGGGGCTATACTTGGAGGTTCATGGTACTGATTAACCAATTATGACTCTACTTATGACCTACTTAATAAGTCTCTGAAATGCCCTAATATGGCTATAAGTACAGTTATAAGTACAGTTATTATTGGCTAAGAAGTACCATGAACCTCCAAGTAGTGGAAGGAGAAGCGCCTTCAAGGTACACAGTTTCTGAACCTGGCAAAAGTGTCAAACATCAAACCCCCCCGAAACCAAAATGAGCCCCAAGCAGTTGCTCAAAAGATGCCCAAACAACCCCCAACCACCAACAACAAAAACTGAACCCTAAATCCTAAGCCCCAACTCCTGAACCTAAACCCTAAAGCCTAAACACCCTTAAACCCCTCAACCCTAAACACCCTAAGCCCTGAACCAAGCCTCAGCCATTTCATGGATTTCGAGTCGAGGTGGATCGCTTTGGGTTCAGTTCGGGGGTTGCGTCAAAACCCTGAAGGGTAGGCGACTTAAGGCACCGGCTTTAGGGTGTGGGGTTTAGGCCCCAGGAGTTCCGGGCTTAGGGTCTAGGGTTTAGGGCTTTGGGGATTAGGGTTGAAGGCAAAAAGCCACATAAACATAAGGACTCTACAGACCTGGTTTCCGGAGAGTCCACCGCATGGCAGTAGCAGGATCCTTACGTTTATATATGTGGCTCTAATTGAAGCGGCAGGAAATCTGGGCCAAGGGTTCAAGGTCTAGGGTGTTTAGGGCTTAGAGCTTGGGAGGTTGTGGGCTTGGTAGGGCTTATAAGGGTTTAGGGTTCAGGGTTTAGGGTTTAGGGTTGCAGCGGAGCCTCAGGGAGGAGAACTCCATGAGCATGGGGTGCCTTTGTGGCGGCTGTCTTGGGCTTCAGGTGTCCCATGTACTGCGGGGCCGAAACCTACCGAAAAAGGTAGGAACATGGTAGGAAGGTCTTGTGCAAAACCCCCAACGCCTACACCCTTAAACGCCTTTAAGCCTACACCCCCCAACTTCCCGACCCCTACACCCTACATCCTAAAACCTAAAGCCTAAACCCTAAGCCGAAGGAGAAAGTTCGACTCCTGGCGAAGCCGGGTGCGCACGGTACTGCGTGTCCAGAAACTGGTAGGGCACTCCCGCACCGGTCCTAGGGGTGGAGTCTGCCAGCATTAGGGTTCCTGAAAAAGGTTAGGGTCAGGGTTTAGGGCTTAGGGTTGTTTAGGGTTGTTTAGGGTTTTTTTTGGGGTTTTGGGTTTTTAGGGCTTGGGGCTTGGGGTTTAGGGTGCATATGGGGTGTAGGGTTTACAAACTTTAGGGTCCATTGGTTGGCTGGCTGGCTGATTGGTTGGTTGGCCGGCTCATAGCAGCTGCAGCCATACAACCGCTTCCCGTCCATATTTCAGGCGGGCTTGGCAAATGTCCTTGCTACCAAGACATGTCGGGAGGGTGGAGGGGAGGACCATCCTTGCGCAGCTCCGTACATGTCGCATGAATCTTCTTCAAAAGCCGGAAGTCTTAGAAACTCTGTTCGACTCTGTTCAGAAGCGTTCTGAGCAAAGTGTGGCTGGTGCACGGTGCCCTCTTGTCAACGAGCAGGCTGGGTACTCCATGGTGCTCCACATGCAACGCTGTCAACCACTGACGGGTTGCAAGAAATGCTTTTTACCAAGCTTGCAGTGCACCGACGCGCAGCTGCCGGCCCAGCCTTGAGTGCACAACCGGGAACAGATATCTGCAACAGAACACACGGGTCACCTTGCCACACTTGCGTGCACGCCAAACGCGATGAACTCCATGATGAAGGCCACATATGGCACCTGCGCTTGCTCACAACAAGCTGCCGGCGACAGCCACGCAGGCAAGGAACCATTCATTAAAAAACAACACAAGTAATGGACGTTTAAATTAAGGCGCAGGAAGTACACGCCTCGTGCAACATCGTTTTTGCGTCGATGAAAGCGTTCGCCCAGAAGACATACTTTCAGACCGGACAATACAGAAATTGGACTGGTCCGCGAAAGCTTAGGCTGCAAAGGCCGTGAAGGAAAGGATGGTGATAGCTGATTTCGTGGGCTTACGCAGGGCGCACGATGCCATCAATAAAAAATCGGAAGAATGACATCTTCCCGACGATGCACGACAATTGCTATCACTGCAGAGCTCGTGCTCTGCGCAAGGCTCCACTCCAAATGAGACGCAGCAGTCATAGCCATGAAGATCTGGGGAGTCTGTGCTGGCAGACAACTTTCTCCTGAAGCTGAGTTAAAATTCAGCTTGCTATGATAGGCTGGTAGACATCCGAAGTCTTTAGTGCACGGCTCTAGCTGTAAGAGCGGCAACGCTGTCCGAAGCTTTGGTCGCGGAGCAGCTGCGAGCGGGAGATGTACCAGTTCAGGTCGACCAAGTTGGAGGCGTAGAAGAGTGCGTGGTGTCTATCCATGGCGTCCTTTGCCATCTGTGGAGGCAGCTCGTACAGCGGGCCCCGGGGGCCCGTTAGGCAGAATGAGTGATCCGCGTGGGAAGGGAACATCCTGATGAGGGGCCTATAAGGCTTAGGAGTTGCCACATGGCTCAGACTTCCGCAGTGGCCGGATACGACCAAAAAGAGCGCGTGGCCGCGGTGGATGCTGAAGTCCATCAATATAACTGGACTGGACGGAGGGCCGAGCACGCCAGAACCGCCTCTAGTTGCGCGCGGGGGCAGGCCCCCACCACACTGACAGCGCTGTTCGCCAGGGCCTCAGCAAAGGAAGAGGAACCAAAATGGCAAAGGAGGCAGATGACCGCGCCGGGCTGCACGGCTCAGGCCACACGTTGGCCATGAAATGAAGCTGCGGGCCATGTTCTGAAGCACTGTTGTCACCGTTCAGCCGGAAAATGGCAGCGTGCACACCAGAGAACAGGAGGTCGCAAGAAACTGCTGCAAGGTCAGCAGGTAGGGGCTCACCCGAGTCCCGGCCCAAGAGGGGCTGGAGTAGAATGTCAGCCTGCTGCACAAGCGGCGAAGAGATAGAAGGGAAGAGAGGCATGGCTGCAGCAGCTGGCTGGAGCCCAGAAGCCAAGAAGAAGAGCAAACCTTCACGACGGAAAAAGCAAAAACAACAACCACCACAGCAAAGCCGGAAAGGAAATGGACGAGAGGAAAAAGGACGAAGGCACTGTCGCTCTTGCGGTAGCGGGGGAGGGAGAAGGATGCTCATCCGGAGTGCCTCCTCCCGATGCCCCGACTCCGAAACAACCCCCCCCCCCCCCCGGCAACTGTGCCGTAGGGTTTTGGGCTTACAAGGGGGTTTAGGGATAAGTTGTTTAGGGTTTGGAGTTCACGGCTTAGGTTTTCTTACGGGGGGGGGGGGGGGGGTTAGGGCGTATAAGTTGTTGAGAGGTAAGTTGTTTAGGTTATAGGGTTTAGAATGAGGCTTTAGGGTTTACAGTTTAGGGTTGGGGGTTTAGGGGCATTCGGGGATAGGAGTTTAAGGGGCTTTGGGTAATCGCGGTTTGGTGCTTAGGTGTTCAGACTGTTCGAATTTGAGGGCCCATAACAGCCCCCCCCCCCCCCCCCCGCAACCACTCAACTCCATGCCCAGTTTGTAGCAGCCCTCTGAAAAGATGCGCCTAGATACTACAATTTGCTGAAGAACCACCCGAAAACATTTTCTTCCTTGTAATACAGAAAATTAAAAATATACATATATATATATAGATAGATATAGACTTGTTTTTTGGGGTAGGGGGGGTTCTTAAGCAAATAGTAGAATAAGGTCCTCTCCAACCCACGAAATACTCAGACACATCCCCCAAACCACCCTGAACCCCCAAAACTCCTAAACCCCAAGCCAGAAACCCCAAACCCCACACCCTGTGCCCTAAACCCTAAATCCTAAGCCCTAAGCCCCTAAACCCTCAACCCCAAGCTCTTAAACCCAGTCAATAAGGGTGCCCTAAACCCTAAACCCTAAACCCTAAACCCTAAACCCTAAACCCTAAACCCTAAACCCTAAACCCTAAACCCTAAACAACGAAAGCCCAGGCTCAAGCGCGAGTAGAGCGAGAGCGAAAACCCACGCAGCTGGGACTCGCGGGAGATTACTGATGGAGGAAGCTGACAGTGATCTCCACACAAGACCTGGTTGAGGGTTTGGGGTCTAAACCCTAAACCCTAAACCCTAAACCCTAAACCCTAAACCCTACACCCTAAACCCTATAAGGCTGAAGGGGTTTAGGATCTCCACCACAAGACCTCAATCTGGGGGTTGAGGGTTTAGGGTTTGGGATTTGGGGGTTTAGGGCGTGGGTTTTAGGGTTTGGGGGTTTGGGATTTGGGGTTTAGGGCAAGGGGTGTAGGGTTTCGGGATTGGGAGTTGGGGTTTAGGGTGTGGGGTTGAGGGCTTGGGGTTTGGAATTGGGGTGTTTGCGGCTTACGGCTAGGGGTTTAGGGTTTCGGGATTCGGATTTGGGGTTCGGGTTTTAGGGTTTAGGGCTCCTGTTCAGGAACTTCAATATTTGTGACCATCCTAAAGATAAAACATACTTTGCTACAAAGCCCGATTCGGGTCCCTAAACCCTAAGCATCCCTCAGCGCGAAACCCCGATGAAAGCAAAATGATATACATTCCTTGACAAGATTCCTAAACCCTGAACCCTAAACCCTAAACCCTAAACCTCTTCGAGTTCTGAGCAGGAAACTGCTCCTAGGCTCCTGTGGGGCCCCGGGGTGGTTCTAGGGTTCCTAGAACTGGGGTTCAGGGTTGCCTTTAGCAACATAGGGTTTAGGGAGTTTAGGGTTTAGGGGCTGAGGGCTTGGGGTGGAAGGGCTGAAGGGGTTTGGGGGCGAGGGAGGGGGTTTAAGGGCTTTAAGGGATTAAATAGGGTTAAGGGCTTAAGGGCTTCTATAAGGGCTTCAGGGTTTACAAGGGCTTCAGGGCTTTAGGGTTTAAGGGCTCAGGCTTCAGGCTTTAGGGACTTGACCACGTCAGAGGAGCCAGCTGCTGCGCATTGCGGCAGACAATGGGCACCGCGCAGGACGTTTCCGTCGCTTGCGCAACTTCATCGATCAGGACTCCTGGGAAGAGGTTTAGGGTTTAGGGTTTAGGGTTTAGGGTTTAGGGCTACTCTAAACCCGATACAGGGCTCCAGGGTGCGATAGACCCCCTTGAAAGGGCCGCAAGTCTTCCCCACCTTGGGAGTTAACAATTGAGGGCTTCGGGCTTGCAGCTTAGAGTTTCGGGTTGGGCTTTGGGTTTAGGGTTTAGGGTTTAGGGTTTAGGGTTTAGCCATGTAGGGTTCAGGCTTAGGATGTGGGGTTAGGGTTTCAGGGTTTAGGGTCGAGAGTCTAGGGTTCGAGGTTCCGGTCTTGAAGGCTGGCATAACGGTCCCAACACGAATAGAGGCAGAGCAGCAAAGTCTCGAGAACCGACGCAGAAACCGGGGCTGTTCAAGCTCAGAAAGCTCTAAGCCATAACCTTAAACCCTAAGCACCCCGAACCCTAAACCACTGCAAAAACGGTGGGTCCGATAAGTCCCGCAACCCGAAACCTCTGGTGAAAAAACTTATCCCTAAAGCTCTGCCTCCTGTAGCCCCGTATCCAAACCCCTCAAAGTCAGAGCCTGTTCAAGCAGATTGGGTATACTGAACCCTAAACCCTAAACCCTACACCCTAAACCATGGCAATATTGGAAGGGGGGGAGGGCGTATGCTAGATGCCTGTTGGGATCATCTGGGATGAACTTGGTTGGCAACCGTTTGGCTCCTGCTTTACACCCCCCAAACTTGTGACGCTGGATGTGTTTCCACAGCCTCGTTTCAAGGAACGTGCTTATATGAAAAAGTTATACTTTCGGATGTTGCCCCCTTCTAATTAGGGTCTTGCTGATGAAAAAATATAAACTTGATATTTCTTAATGTTTTGGGATTCTCTGGGTGGGTGGGCTTTTCTGGAATCCAAACAGCGGCTCTACTAGAGATTGCTCGACCCGGAGCTGCTGAACCCTAAACCCTAAACCCTAAACCCTAAACCCTAAACCCTAAACCCTAAACCCTAAACCCTAAACCCTAAACCCTAAACCCTAAACCCTAAACCCTAAACCCTAACCCTGGAATCTTCGATACAAAGTATTCGCGATTCTACTGAACCCCTTCACTCCTCGGAAAGTGAAGCCGCTCAGCTGGTTAGATCCGGATGCAATCGTTGTCGCGCAGATCACCTCGCAGGTCTCCAGCTTTGAGGCCCATGGTTGATAGGGTTTAGGGTTTAGGGTTTAGGGTTTAGGGTGCGGGGTTGAGGGTTGAGGAGGGCTAATTAGGGCCCAAGCGGGCTATTGATGGGTTTGCAGGGGGTCCGATCTTCAAGCGCGCCCTGACCTCTTCAACCCCGAGCCTTCCTAGGTGTCAGCCATTCGGGTTTAGGGTTTAGGGCTTAGGGCTTCGGGGGGGCCCTCGGGCTTATTTAAGGGTTGAGGGGTGTTGGTTGGGATGTTCCCCTTTTTATTAACAGTCCTATCTAGGGATTTTATGTACCCTCTTGTTATAATCCCGATTAAGGACTGCTGGCATAAGGGGGAACATCCCAAGGTGTGCTGCCCTTTAGCGGCACTCACTTCGACTACTGTCGCAGCATCAAGTTCATCAGAAGGGTAAAACCGACCTGTCCCACGACAGTCGAAACCCAGCTCACGTTCCCTATTGGGGGGGTGAGCAATCCGACACTTTGGGAATTCTGCGTCTCAATGATAGGAAGAGCCGACAGCGAAGGATCAACAAAAACAACGTCGCTGTGAACGCTTGGCTGCCACAAACTGCCACCTAACCCCCACAAAAAAAAACAAAAAAACAAAAAAACAGGAAGCCAAACCCTAAACCCTAAGCATCCCTAAACCCTAAACCCTCTAAAAAAAAAACAGGTTGAGCGCGCTTGGGTCATAAGGCCAGCCCTCTAGGAAGGTGGACGACATCGGCGCCCTGCAACCGGGATGCTTCCGCTTGCTCCAGAACCCTGTCCCTCTCGAACCTGCGCAAAGGGTTTAGGGTTTGGGGTTTGGGGTTTAGGGTTTAGGGTTTAGGGTTTAGGGTAAAACAATCCGAGAGGATCTGGTTTCACATGGTGCTATGTAGGGTTCAAAAGCCTTTCAAAGGTACAGGCACCTATACCGTATGTACTTGCACCCTAAAGCCCTACTTTGGAGTAGACCCTGAAAAAAGGATATACTCTTTAGTAATAGGTATAAGTAGCCTCATAGGAACCCAGAAACAAAAAGTATTGAAGTATAGTACTCCGATACCCAGAAAGTCAGTGTATAGGAACCGCTTTCAGGCCCAAGTAGATCTATGTTCCCAGATGTAGTGGCTTTGAAAAGGACCCCTTGTGTATCCATCTGCTCACATCTTCTCGTAACCCTAAACCCTAAACCCAAAACCCAAAACCCTAAACCCTAAACCCTGGTGTAGGAAGTCGTTTGTTAATGGCCGTCAAAGCTTGCAGGTCAAAGCCCCGAACACCCGACCTTTGGGAGCCAAAAGGTTGACTGCTGCTAAGTAACCAGAAGCCTAAACCCAGGATTCCCCTAAGCCCAACCCTAAACCCTAAACCCTCAACCTCAACCCTCATCCCTAAGCCCTAAACCCTAAACCCCAAACCCTATGACTGTCGGGCCTCTCTTTTCGACGCTCATTGGCTCGCTTCCGCAGCTGCTTGTCCCGGAGCCTCGGCGGCGTCCCTACCGCGTTCAACATATGGACCCCCAATCTGGGGTTTAGGGTTTAGGGTTTAGGGTTTAGGGTTTAGGGTTTAGGGTTTAGGGAGGACTCTGTTCTAAGGGCCTCTTCCTGGTCCCCAATTTTGCAAAAAGGGGAACCCTTATATACCCCTTGTATAACCTATACAAGACCTATACAACCCAGGGCCCATACATCAGAACCCTTTACAGAGGGCAAGGGGCCATAGTAAGGGATCATGAAACTACCCTTAGAGGGTATAGGGGGGAGGGCTTGGGGGCCTCAGTTGTCATTGTAGGGTCTACCGATTCTTTCTCCTTAACCCTAACTACCCGACGCCGAATAAGGGTTCCTGAACCCCCCAAGACCAGGGCCCAACAGGATTGCTTCAAACAAGGATATGGGTATTTTCTCAAAATGGGGGAGTGCCCCTTGTTCATACCCCAAATAGAATAGAATCCCCTTGAAGGGCACCCCGCAAAAGGGCACCCCTATTTTCGGAAACCACCATATAGGGTCTAGGGTTTAGGGTTAGTAAACTGGGAACTCACGGATCATCTCCACAGGAAAAATCTGTGAGTGGTACCAAACTAGGCCGTAGGTTCCCTTCAGAAGAAAAAGCAAGTTAAGGGACCCTAAACCCTAAACCCTAAAACCCGAAAATCCTCAACCCTCAACCCTCAACCCTAAACCCTAAACCCTAAACCCTAAACCCTAAACCTCCGGAGGGGCACTCCCGCCACGTCTTCCACTCCTCGCCGTAGCGATCTTCCGGCTCCTCACCGGGCTCCTGATTGTCGGAGTTTAAGGGTTTAGGGTTGAGGGTTTAGGGCTTCGGTTGAGGGTTTTTAAGGCTTCGGGTTTAGGGTTGAGGGTTGTTTGGGCTTAGCGTTTAGGGTTGAGGGTTTGGGGTTTTAAGGGCTTTTGAGGGTTTTGAGGGTTTTGGGGGGTTGTGGGGTTTAGGGCTTCGGGTAGTTCAGGAAGTTCCGTGTGTAGGATTCAAGTGAGAGCCTTGCCTCCAACTCTTCCCAGGACTCTTCCCAAGGTTTAGGGTTTAGGGTTTAGGGTTTAGGGTTTGGGGTTCAGGGTTTAGGGTTTAGGGTTTAGGGTTCAGCGATTCAGCCTGTCATATAATCAGATCTTGACTTGGTAGCCCAGTAACCATACTATGGTAAGGGCACCATGTTTTGGGTTGGTTATTTTATAAGGGAACCCATAACCAAAAGAAAGGGTACAGGGTACCACTGGGCTACCAAGTTGAGGTCAGGTTAGCTCTCCCCAGCTAGGGTTTAGGGTTTAGGGTTTAGGGTTTAGGGTTTAGGGTTTAGGGTTTAGGGTTTAGGGTTTAGGGGTGGAGGGTGTAGGGCTCATCCTCAGCAGAAGCAAAGAGAGGACATGAGAAATTATGGCAAGAGCTTTCCCAAGCCGACTGCGCGGCTGCGGGTTAAGGGTCCTCATCTGCTGCGAACCCGAAACCCTAAACACACAAAACCCTAAACCCCTCAACCGTAACCCCCCACCCCCCACCCCCCTGCCAGGCCCTAAACCCTATAAGGCCATAATCGCCCATCTGCATCCCAGGGTCCTCGTCTTCATCGATGAACTCCTCTTCCAGGGCGGCCTCTGCACCTCTGGCGTCTTCTTCTCTGAGCGAAACTATGGGGTTTGGGGCTTCGGAGGGGGTATGGACCATACAATTCACCCTCAGCCCTCGATAATCCCTACAGGGAGCCCCAAAAAGCCCCAAAAAACCAAAAAAAAAAAAACCTAAGCCCTGAACCCTAAACCCTAAACCCTAAACCAGCAGCCCAAGATTTTGTGAGAGAACGAGCGCTTGCTCCAGGCCAACTCTGTTGGCCGGCCCAACAGTAGCTGGATCTCTTTTATTGGGGGGGATGCTGAGTGCGCAGCATCTTAAACAACTTTGCAAAATGGGTCAATCAGACCTGGTCCCTAAACCCTAAACCCTAAACCCTAAACCCTAAACCCTAAACCCTAAACCCTAAACCCTAAACCCTACGAATCTCCGCTACTGGACACACTTGGTGCCAGCATCCTCGAGGCACTTAATGGGGATGGCGGCTTGGAGGTCCTTGAGCTGCCAGATGGACAGACCTGCAATCCAGGGAGTGCCCCACCAAAGGAGGTTTAGGGTTTAGGGTTTAGGGTTTAGGGTTTAGGGTTGAGGGTTGAGGGTTTTGGGGTTGAGGGATTAGGGACAGTCATATAGTCATCTAGTCATCTAGTCACCGACAGTCTGTTGCGCCTATCGAGATCGCTAGCCCCAAGAGCCCTGAGGACTCAAGCGCACTTGCCCCCCCGAAGCGCCTGCCATGCCATTTTGCTGAATGATGCCTTTGATCCAGTCAACCATATACGCCTCGAGCCCGTTTGTGGTCAGCGCGAGAATGATCTTGCTGGCGGGTATGCCGGACTTTAACCAGTCCTGGATGACCTTATAGGTGAAACCGCTATTCGGATTGTCTTTGGGGATGGACCAGCTGCCATCCGTCATGGAGCCGCCGTGGATCATGACGGCAAAGTAGTCCAAGGTATCCTAGTTCATGGTTGAGATGAAATTAAAAATTTGGACTTATACTCCTTATCGGGCTGAAGTACCCTTAAACATGTAAAATGGTACCCAACTATGACAAGGTATCTGCCACTTTCACCGCATACGGGTGGTCGCCAGACAGGCAGGTGGCCTGGCACTTGATGTCCTTACCATACCTTGGTAGCCCAGTAACCTTATTCTAATAAGGGCACCCCTAAACCCTAAACCCTAAACCCTAAACCCTAAACCCTAAACCCTAAACCCTAAACCCTAAACCCTAAACCCTAAACCCTAAACCCTAAACCCTTCTTTGGTTGGTTACTTTATCAAGGGAACCCAGAACCCCAAAAAAATAAAGGTAAAAGGGTACCACTGGGCTACCAAGATACTTGCTCCGAAGATCGTTGCAAAGGCTGGCAGCCGCAGGATACTGGTTCCCGGCCATGATGCCTTCCATGTCGAAGTCGATGTTGCTGGCGTCGGCCTTGCCCATCCAGTCATGCAGCAGTGATGCCGGTGGGATCCTTAGTTGCTGAGTTCACAAGCCCCCCCCCCAAAAGAAGTGTACACTTTCAGTTCTGTAAGGGGATTATAGTATCCCCAAAAAGTGTAAAGTGTCCACTCACTCAGCTACTGAGGATCTTCTGGCCAACCCCCACCCCGTCGCCGCCAAGGACGACGTAGTTGTTGGCGGCGGGGCCCGTCGCTGCCGGAGGCGTCGCGTCCACATCCTTTGCAAATGCACCTGTGTGCTGCTGCCAACCCGGAGGGATGGTCGAGCAAACTTGCAGCCAGCTGTAGCCACAATAGGCCTGAAGAAGATACGGAGCGCTTTTGTTGGCCCTCACAGGGCAGCACAAGCCGGATTATAGGCCTTCATAAAACCACGTATTCTGCAAATTCTTTTGCGAACACCCGCCCCCCCCCCCCCCCCCCTCCTCAGTGAGCCAAACCCAGACCCAAACCCCAAACCTCAAACCCCACCACCCTCAACACCAAAAGCCCTCCTAAACCCTAAACCCGAAGCCCTAAACCCTAAGCCCTAAACCCTAAACCCTAAGCCTCAAAAAGCCCTGAGCCTTGCAGCATCACGAACGTCGAGCTGCACCAGCGACTGGGGGTCGCAGGACTCTTCGAAGGCCAAGAGCTGCGATATGCAACAAAGCCTTCGGGTTTTAGGGGGTTTAGGATGCTTGGATGTAGGATTTAGGGTTTAGGGTTTAGGGTTTAGGGGTAGGGTTGAGGGTTTAGGGCTTGGGGACGTTTAGTTGAAGGCCTACGGTTTGCGGTCTGCAACCGAAAGCTCACATGTCTGCCACGGTTGTTCGGAGTCACACGAGAAGCCGGAGCATGGCGAACATAGGCCAAGGAGTTGTAGATCGTATTGAAGGCTCACTTGAGCCCACTTTGCGAACACGAAGCGCGTGTCTATTCATTGTGGAGGCTGTATAGGTTACTTTCATTCCCTAAACCCTAAACCCTAAACCCTATACCCCTAAAACCCGAAGCCCTGTAAAGCTAACCTTCCAATGCATGTGCTCAGACCAACTTGGCAGTTCCACGGCGCCCAAACTCTAAACCCAAGTCCCTAGAATCCCTAAACCCTAAACCCCAACCCCTAAACCGTAAACCCTAAACCCGAAATCACCAATCTCAAAACCCTAGTGTATCCTTAAACCCTACAGATGGGTTTCAGATACAACTCGAGGCCTTGGAGCCTTGTCGCCAGTGCCCATGCACAGAGACAACCCCCACCGCTGAGGTTCGGGGGTTTACGGTTTACGGTTTAGGGTTTAGCTCAACCGGAAACCCTGAGCCCTAGTGTCTAGTGGTTATCCAGGGTTATGCAAGGACTATGTAGGGGGGCATGTCTTCTAGGGATCTAAAGCTTCTGCAAGCCTAGGTGTCCACAAAATACCCTGCAGCCCCTGAGCAAAGCTTGAAACTCAAAACCCTAAACCCTAAACCCCATACCCGAACCACCCTCTTGCTGCGAGAGGCACGCCGCTCCTTGACCAGGTTCTCCAGGCCTGCCTGCTGCAATTTTGTGCTGACCTCCAAGCAAAGGACGTCTGCTTTTGTTACCTGGAATCGCTGTTTGGTTTACCCAAACCATGAGGCCCTAAACCCGAAACCCAACACATTCGAGTTTGGGATTGTGAGGTGGAGCGCCGCAGCCCCCAAAGACACCCCAAAAGTAGGCGCCCTAGTTTGGAATTCGAATCCAATTTAGGGGTTTACGGGTTACGGGTTTAGGGCTTGGAACCTTTGAATCAGCTCTTACAAATCACATGGGCAAACCCCCAAGACCCCGACGTGAAGTTTTAAGCCGTGTGTACCTTGTATCCTATGAACCTCAAGCCCGAAACCAGAACCCTATGAACCATAAACCCTAAACCGCACGAACCCCAAGCCCTAAACCCTAAACCCTGTGAACCCCAAGCCCTAAGCCCTAAACCCTAAACCCTATGAACCCCAAGCCCTAAACCCTAAATCCTAAACCCCCTGAACCCTAAACCCTAAACCTTTTGAACCTTATGAACCCTATGAACCCTATGAACCTCATGAACCGTATTGAACCCTATTGAACACTATGAACCCTCTGAACCCTGTGAACCCTAAAGCCCATGAACCCTAAAGCCTAGAAACCCTAAACCCTATGAACCCTAAACCCTCAACCCTAAACCCTATGAACGCTAAACCCTAAACCGAACCCTAAACCCTAAACACTATGAACCCGAAACCTGAAGCCACCCAGCGCCTTCTCCAGTCGTCCGATCCTTACCACCCGAATGCCATTGTCGACCAGACCTGCTGGAAACTTGCAACGCTTTTGGGGCCTAGGGTTTGGGTTCAGGGTTTAGGGTTTAAGGTTTAGGGTTTAAGGTCTAAGGTTGAAAGTTTAGGGTTTAAGGTTTAGGGTTTAGGGTACGTAGAAGCCTTCCCATACTCCCCCCCCCCCCCCCCCCCCCCCCCCCCCCGCCCACAAAAAACACAAACCAACACCGCAACCGCACCACCCGAGGCCCAAGCTGGCTACAGAGGCCGAGAAGGAGCGCGCCCCGGGATGTCAGCAGTTTAAGGTTTAGGGGTTTAGGGGTTTAGGGGCTTAGGGGTTTAGGGGTTAAGGAGTTTAGGGGTTTAGGGGGTTAGGGGCTTTGGGGTTTAGGGTTTAGGGCTCAGGGTTTGGAGTCTAAGGTTTAGGCTTAAAGGGTTTGCCTTCTTCACGCGAAGTTGTACAGAATGAACCCCTAAACCCTAAACCCTAAACCCTAAACCCTAAACCCCTGCATAACCGCATATAGAACCTCAGCCCTCCAGCCCTTGGCCTTGAAGCTTCTGCCAAATTAGCTTAAACACAAGACGGGCAACAGACTGAACATGTCAAACACAGGGCCTTTACGTAAGCCCTAAGCCCTAACCCTAAACCCTAAACCCCAAACCCCAAACCCTAAACCCTAAACCTCAAACCCTAAACCCTAAACCCTAACACCCAAGCGAGAGAACTACAACTGAACGATGGCCGGCCTTCAGCGATGTTGTCCACGGCCACGTTGCACTCGGAGGTCGCCAGCAAGGGCTTGTAACCTGACAATGAATCCTAGAGACCCACAAACATGCACTACCGAATCGGATGCAACCCTAAACCCTTAGGATTTAGGGTTTAGGGTTTAGGGTTTAGGGTTTAGGGTTTAGGGTTGGGTAAACCCTAAACCCTACACCCTACACTCTAAACCCTAGCAGCTTCGGGGTTCGAGGGCTTTATGGCTGTTCATCTTTCTAGTCACCTCCACACGCAAACCATGACCACATGAAGTGTGCATTTGAGGTTGTGGGGTCTAGTGTTCAGGGGTTTAGTGTTTTGGGGTTTTAGGGCTTTAGGGTTTTAGGGTTTAGGGTTTGGGGTTTTGGGTTGAGGCTGTGGGGGTGTCAGGGCTAAGGGTTTAGGAAGTTTAGGGTTTGGCGAAGCCTAAGAATCCACCAAATCTCGCACTCCCACGCCTCCAGTGCCGATAAACCATGTCATGTGTCTGAGGGTAGTTGCCATGGCCCCTTAGTATGGGCCCTGAATTGGGGACCCCTGATATAACCCATATGTACCCTATACAACCCAAGGGCCCATACTTCCGAACCCTTGAAAGGAGGTAAGGGGCCATATTAAGGGACCATGTAACTACCCTAACCCTAAACCCTAAACCCTAACCCCTAAACCCTAGAACCCTAGAACCCTAAACCTTAAGGGCCCATGTAAGTACTAGTAACTACCCTTCAAAACCTCTAAGGATCCACCCTCAGTCCCTAAACCTCTGAACCCTAAGCCTGGAACCCTTACCCCCCGACCCGACCCCGGCGTTCCTAAACCGTCCGACGCTGCCCTGAGCTGCCCTAAAGCCCTAAAGCCCTAAAGCCCTAAAGCCCTAAAGCCCTAAAGCCCTAAAGCCCTAAAGCCCTAAAGCCCTAAACCCCTAAACCCCTAAACCCTAAACCCTAAACCCTAAACAAGCCCACACCCTACACCCTCATCTAGGTGCCCTCGCAAAGCACGGTACTACCGGGCATCCGAATCGAGGGATGGGTTGAGGAGCTCATGATATGGGGGTGTAGGGGGGGGTTAGGGCTTCTCCGGTGTAGGGGTTTTGGGGGTTTGGTGTTTAGGGTTTTGGGGGGTCTAGGGTGGGTGGGGTTTAAGCAGCTTAGGTTTAGGGCTTGGGGGTTCTGAAGGTTTTGTCAGCCACCAAGATGTTCCTATGCTCGGCAAAGGGAGGAGGGTTGAAGGTTCCAGGTCTATGTGCTTAAGTGCAACCCTAACCCCAAACCATGTAAACCCTGAGTTAAACTCGTGATGACTCTAGGGTCGTCCCGCTTAAGCACTACCAACAGCCGCCAACCCTCTTTAGCTGCCATCTCCCATCTTCTGTTTGCTTGTGCAGGGGGCGGGAGGGGGGGAGGTCTCCTAAATTCTCTTTTTGGGCATCCTTTCTGTGACAGAGGGACAATTTCCCATCCTAGAACACTGCATTTAGAACCCGAAGCTTCGAGCTTCTGTAGGCTTGTGTAAGGATTAGGTCACCCCAAACCCTAAACCCTACAAACCCTAAAGAACCCTAAGCTGTCCGAATGCGAGATGACAGGTGGCCCATGGTCTTGACCCATGTCGTGAGGATACGCACGGACCTGAGTTGGACACGACTCTACAATGGTTAGTGTTTAGGGTTTCGGGGCGGCACTCTAGACCCTATAAACTTACACTCAAATAAAGGGTCGTAGGGTTTAGGGGGGGTTAGTCATACGGCATGGTTAGGATACAGGGTTAGGTCGGGCTTGAGATGAAGTGGAGAGTCCAAGGTTCAGGCACACGATGGCTGAGGGGTGAAGGACTTCGAGGCTGATGACCTTCTTGGGCCTCTCATCTAGCTCTCGATGACCCTAAACCCTAAACCCTAAACCCTAAACCCTTAACCCTAAACCCTAAACCCTAAACCCTAAACCCTCGATAGCATTAGCAATGCTTGGTACCAAGCGGCTGTCGAACGACCCTCTAAGCCTGGGGGGTTTAGGGCCTTGAGGGGGTTCACAACTACGAAGGCACGCGATTAGGGTTTGGGGTTTAGGGTTATATATATATATATATATATATAATATATATATATATATATATATAGGGTTATATATATATATAATATAGGGTTATATATATAATATAGGGTTCAGGGTTCAGGGTTTAGGGTTTAGAGGATGTCATTGCTTCCAAGGCTTCCAGGCCTTCTGCCACGGCCTATTTGCATCCCGAGGCCCAAGCCCCAGCCGGTTCTATGGATGATGAGCCCGAAAGCCCTAAACGCTCTGCATATATGGGGATTTCAGAAATTAGGGGGTATTTGTGCTCAAATTAGGGGTCCCTGATTTTTGGAACCCCCCCCCATATGTATATACATGGAGATTCTAGGTCATGCCATAGCCCTAAACCCTAAACCCTAAGGGAAATGCCTGTTGAGGACTTCGGGTGGCGAGGCGAGGGTCGGAGACTCGGGAACTGCCCCGGAAGCCAAAGGAGCTTGAACACCCGAAGACTTAGGGTTTAGGGTTTAGGGTTTAGGGTTTAGGGTTTAGGGTTTAGGAGTGTAGGGTTTTGGGCTTGGGGCTTAGGTGTTAGGCTTAAGGCTTAGGGGTTCAGGGCTACGAGTTTAGGGCCAAAGGTTTAGGGGGAGCCATGAATCCGAGTCAGAAACGAGCTTTATCCCCAAGCCCAAGTAACAAAAGACGGTACACGAGGTATAGCCCCGCACAAAAACACACCCGAAACCCAATCCCCAAACCCTGATCCCTAAACCCCAAAGATTACATGCTGAAGGCCTCGAGA